AAAGGCCTCCTGGGAAACGAAATTGTTACAGGCCATTGTAACAACACAGTTACACTGCATTGTATCTTCTGACTCATTTACATGGTAGACTATATCCATTCCTGAGGACAGGGCCACAATGGATGAATGAATGAATGAATGAACAAAATATCATTTATGGGTATTTTTGTAGAAAACCAGTATCCTCTATTTTATTTTTATTTATTTATTTATTTTTTTAAAGAAAGCCAGTCACTACGTTTGACTTTTTTTTTTTTTTTAATATTTTATTGATTTTTACAGAGAGGAAGGGAGAGAGATAGAGAGTTAGAAACATCGATGAAAGAGAAACATCGATCAGCTGCCTCCTGCACATCTCCTACTGGGGATGTGCCCGCAACCCAGGTACATGCCCTTGACCGGAATCGAACCCGGGACCCTTCAGTCCGCAGGCCAACGCTCTATCCACTGAGCCAAACCGGTTTCGGCGTCTCTATTTTATGATGAATCTGTTTGACATTCATCGATCGCATCAGTATAGCCAGGCGATGTGAGGGGGTTCCTACCCTGCGCCTGACACTATGATAAACATGGTCCTCTCCACACAGAGTTTACGCTCGAGAGAGACAGGCAGACAACAAGTAACTACAAGGATGATGAAGAGGCAGATGTGATGTGTAGACCGGGAAGCATGGTCTGGATTAGGGGTGTAAGGGAAACACGAGGAGGAAAACCCAGGCAGCACTTATCATGTAATAGCACGTTGAGGGTTCTACAATTTAAACACATTTTTAAAAATTTATTGTTGATTTTAGAGAGAGAGGAAGGGAGAAACAGATTCGTTGTTCTACTTATTTATGCTTTTATTGGTTGATTCTTGTATGTGCCCTGACCGGGGATTGAACTTGCAACCTTGGCATATCAGGACGATGCTCTAACCAGCTGAACCATCTGGCCAGGGCCACACTGAGGGTTTTACATATTTAGCTCATTTCATTCTCACAACAGCCCTATGAAGTACATACTATTATTCCTGCCTTAGAGACCAGGAAACTGAATATAGAAAGGTTGAAAAACTGGCCACGGTCACACAGCTTGTGAGTGGTAAAGCCAGCATTTAAACCCAAGCAACCTGGCTTGAGTCCGCACTCTTCACAAGGAATTAGGTAAAGGTGAAGGGTGGGTAGACCATTTAGGACAAGAGATGTGACTGGACAACAAGGCAGAGAATTTACCTTAGAGTAATGGGAAGCTGTTGGTGGTTTTAAGTAAGAAATGGGCACAAGGAAATTGCATTAGAATGGGCAGTGTGGGCCTGGCCAGTGTGGCTCAATTGGTTGAGCACCATCCTGGTCAGGTCACAGACCCCTGCTGTGAGTTCAACCCCCTGTCAGGGTTCATGTGGGAGGCAACCAATCGATGTTTCTCTCTGGCATCAATGTTTGTTTTTTCCCTCTCTCCCTCTACCTTCCTCTCTAAATAATAAAACAAACAAACATATTTAAAAAAAAGAATGGGCAAAGTGGAAGGTAGGAGGGTATTTAAGAGGTCATTAAGACAAGACATTAATGCAAGGCAGAGACAAGATGGGGCTCAGACGAGGGTGGCAGTGATGAAGAGTTGAGGTTGGGTTAGGTTAGAGAAAAAACTGGAGGTTGAACCAGTGGGACTGGCTGGTGGATAGGATGTGGGGACAAGGGACTGGGGTCAGATTTCTGGACTGGATGCGTGAAAGGGCACCCAGGAGGAGGGGAGAAGCAGGTTGGGGTGGAAGATAATGAGTCCAGCCTTTACTTTATGGAGTTGGACAAAGGTGGCCCTGGGACAGTCAAGGGGAGTGTCAAGTGGGCAGTGGGGGCGGGGCTTAGGGCTGAGGAGGGAGTCTGGGCAGGGGGAGCTGTCAGCATGAAGAAGGCCCCCAAAGCTCTGGGAGGTGTGGCTGGGTCCTGAGGGGGAAGGCGGGGCAGGACAGTCTGCTGAACCTCCCAGGGTGTGGTTAGAAATGCAAGTCCTTAGCTTCACCTAGACCCGTGGAGGCCATTTCCTGGGGTGGGGCCTTGGCCTCGCCTTCTCACAGGCTTTCTGGGTGACAGTGAGCTGGAGGGCCTTGGGTACAGCTTGAGGAAAAGCAACTCTGAAGACTTGAAAAGAATAGGAAGAGCCATGAGTGATAGGGAGTCACCCCAGCTCACAGGTGTCCCCCCAGAAACAGTGGACCTGCAGCTCCATTGGCAAGATACAGTCTCACTCAGTTCAGGGGACCTCCTTCCCCTCCACCTTCCCTCAGTGTGGCTCTTATCACTCCCTTCACCTGCTACCAATCTTCTCTCTCCACCAGGCAGGCCCCCAGAGAATCCCAGTCAGCAGAGCACCTCACACAAGGCCTCTCACAATCTGCTCCTAACCCTCCTCTCCAGTTTTCTCTCTCATTCTTTCCTTCCTGCTTCCTCTGCTCTTCTCACCCTGCCCCCTGCCTCCTGTCCATGCAACACTCAACTTTTCCCGAGTGTCCTCCATGTGGCCTTTGCACAGGTTGTCTCATGTGCTGAGAATGTCCATCTCCCTACCCAGATCCCACCCATTCTTCTTGCTCCTGGTCAGAGGCTGTCTCCCTCCCACCCCCCAAAACTCCCTCATCCTGCTTTCCTCTTACTGTGGGCCATAGCACTTGCCCTGGGTGTCCCCAGCATGCCTTCAGCTCCGATAGTCTCTGGACACAGGGAGGGATATACAGAGCATCTCGAAACCCATGTCTCTTTACACGTTGCGTCTCCTTACCAGGAACATAGTGCTTGGCACAGAGAATATGCTCACAGGGCCTCATGCAGATGGAAATGGCTTCCAAAGCAGAGATATGCATGACTAAGGTTCTAGGGCCTTGCTTAGCCTACCTAAGGTCCAGACGATCTTCAAGACCAGTTACAGACTACAGAAACATGGGATTTAAATATATATATATATTTATAAATATATATATATATATATATATTATTGATTTCAGAGAGGAAGAGGGAGAAATAGAAACAACAATGATGAGAGAGAATCATTGATTGGCTACCACAATGGGGATGGAGCTGGAAACCTGGGCATGTGCCCTGACGGGGAATTGAACCGTGACCTCTTGGTTCATAGGTCAACACTCAATGAGCTATGCTGGCTGGGCAGGAACATGGATTTATAAAGGAGAATTTGCTGGTGGATGCTGATTTTCCTGGTCATCCTGGTGGGGTGGTGGGAGTATGTACCAGGAAGTCACAAACCTGCCTTTGAAGGTGGCCTGCAATTTAGGCTTGTGGCTGCGGCCATTAGGCTGTATCCTGTCTGATTACAGGAAGTCCAAAGCTGTCACGTGGACCTACCTACCTGGGAGTCAGAAGCCTGGTCCCATCCCCCAGCCCCTCTCCTCCCCTTTCCGCTCACTACAGGACATTACCCTTTGGGGGCACCAGGATGAGTCTATCCTGCTCTCAGGTCAAACTTGGCTTCTCTGCCTCCTTTTGCTCTGTTCTGGTTGCTGATGTTTTTGGGCTTTGCTTCTACAGGTAGAGGATCTTGAGCTTCTGAAGGTCCTTAGGAAATCACCAATGCACTATTTTCCAAATAAGCCCAGACTCATCCCGGCCAGGTCCACCTGGAATCAGCATCTTGGCGGGGGGGGGGGGGGCCCTGATGATCTACATATTATCAAAGCAAGCCCCTTAAGGCTCACTGATCAAGCCCTTAAGGCCCCCCCCCCCCCCCCCCGATTTTACAGGCTGGCTCACTCCCGCGTGGGAGGAAGCTGAGGTCTGGAGCAGTCAGATCTGAGCGCAGGCTGAGGCTCTCAGCTGCAGAGGAGACTCCCAGAAACCATCTCATCTCTGGGCCTGGGCGTCCCATCTGTTTGTTCCGGGCAGGCGCTGTAACCTTGCCCTCACAGGGTTGTTGGATTGGCTGAAATAACACTGGGAGTGGGAAACTGAGGCTCAGTGGGAGAAGAGATTTGCACAAGGTCATCCACCTCTCCATCTGCCAGCTGTGTGCCCGGCTCTGGGGATTCATCTGGGAACAACTTGTTGGGGGAGATGACATTTTAGTAAACAGGGAAACCAGCAAATGAACCAGATAATCACGATAAAGGAAATAAAGGGTTTTTCTAGAGTCAGGGCAAAGGTGGGAAGCGGAGGGGGGATGGGAGGCCTGCCAGGAGGTCACTCCAGCGGAGACTTGGATGTCGCGGCGCCTGAGCCGAGGCCCAGGGCGGCTGTCCTCGGCCCAGGGGCTGCAGAGCCGAGGCCCCTCGCGCTCCCGGGGCCCTCGGAGGCGCGGCGGACGCGGGTCTTTGTCTCCCAGGTTCTCGCTGAAGCATCTCCGACCCCCGAGCGCTGTTCTCCCTTTGACCCCGAATCACTTGTTGGTCTCCCCCGGCTTTGTCTCCTCGGGGCCACCACCCCCGGGGCGCCGGGCAGCCGCCCCCAGCCCTCGTGGGTGCCGCATCTGACACCCCCCGGCCCCCGCCCCCTACCCGCTCCGAGACCGGGGTCAAAGGCAGCCGCGTCACGTGGTCGCCGAGCAGCACCGAATCGGCCGGGAGAGCCGAGGGAGAATCCGGGTGGAAACCGAGAATCCAGCCCCGAGAGCAGAGCGGGGTCCCGCCCGCCCCCGCCCCCGCCCCGGGCGCTCGCTGCACGCCCGCCGCCGGCCCCGGAGCCGGTCTTTGCCGGCGCCCCGCTCCGTCACGGATCGAGCCCGCTCCACGCCGCGGCTCGGGAAGGTGGGCGCCGGGCCGGGGCGGGAAGGGGGCGCGGGCTGGGGGCCCCCGGCGCGCGGGCTCGCCCGTCTGTGCTCCGCGGGTCCGTGGGGGGCGAGGGAGAGCACCCCAACTTCTCGTCTTCAGGGGGACCCCCACCTCGCGGCCGCGGGAGGAGGGGCGGCTCTGAGCGGCCCCCGTGCTGTTTGGGGGGCCGGGATGGGGGCTGGGAGCCGGCGGGAGGGGCGGGAGGAGAGCGAGCGGGGGCGGGGCGGCGGCGCGGGGCGGGGGCGCGGGCGGGAGCGGCGGCGGCCGCGAAGGGGTTAACCCGCCGGGCCGATCCCGGCAGCGCTCGCCATGCCGGGGGACCCCGGCGTCCGGCGGCTCGCCCGGAGCGCCCCCTTCCCCGGGTAGCGCCCCACCGCGGCAGGTAAGAGGCCCGGAGGCCGGAACCGGCCGGTCCCCGGTCGCCCAGCCGGCGGGGCCCGAGCCGGGCGTGCAGGCCGCGCGGCGCCCCAGCGGCCCCGCGGCGAGTTTGGGGCGGGCGGGCGCCGGGCGGGCCGGCGGGGCTGCGGGCCCCGCGCTCCGGGCGGGAGGACAAAGGGTGGGGGGCCGCGCGGGGCCGGGGTGCGCCGAGGGCACGCGGCAGCTGTAGGTCACGCATAATGTCACTCACGAGGAATGCCCCCTCCCCCTCCCCTTCTCCCGAACAGGGGAAACTTTTGTCTGGCGAGGGAGGGGGTGCGGGGCCGGGTCCCCGCTTCAGGAAGGGGAAGGCAGCCCGACCGGTTTTCTCCGGGCTGCGAGCGGCCCGGTCTGCAGCTCCCTCTTCCCTAGGTTCCCAGGAGCCAGGAGCACCCATCTGGACGCTGCCCGTTCACCCCCGGGGACCAGGTGAGGAGGGGGCGCCCATGGACCGTGGGACGCGTGGGTTCTGGGGCCGGCGGGCAATCTGGGGGCTGGCCTCCTGGCTTTTCCCCAGATGTGAGCACCTGGGTCAGCCAGGAGCCATGCCGGGGTGAGGAGATACACTCCAGTCACGCCCCTGTGCTGTTCTCCCCCCGCCCCCCCGCACACCCCCCGGAAAAAAAACCCATTTGGAATGGCCTGGGGTAGTACTGGCCCCTGGTCTGGGGTTCAGACTGACCTGGGTGTCTGTCACTTTCCAGCTGTGTGATCTTGGCTGGTTCCTTACCTGCTACTAGCTAGCCTCAGTTTCCTCACCTGTGATATGGGCAAAAGATAGTATCTGCCAGAATAAGGATGAAATAAGGACCTGTGGGGCCTCAGTAACAGTGGCTTGTTTATATTCAACAAGTACTTATTGCATGTTTACTGTGGGCCAGACAGGGGGCTAATTGACTTACATATGTGATCTCATTTAATTCTTTGACATGACTATTAACCACATGTTACAGAGGGGGAAACTGAGGCACAGAATGGCACAGGTCAAGTAGGTGGGAAGTAGTGGAACTTGGATTTGACTCCCCTCCCCCAGCCCGAGTCTCAGCTAACAGGGCTCTATAAGGTCCTGCTATGACTGAGCGCACAGTTTCATTTTCAGTTGGAATTGTGAGGACACCTGCTCCCTCTCCCCACTCCCCTTACCCCCAAGTGATGCTCCTTCTGGCGGTACTGGCGCGGGTGAGGTCTTTTGCCCTGGCTCTTGCTGTGGCAGCTGGAGCAAGAGGGGAACTCAGTCGGAGCCTGGGCCTGGAGCTCCGTGATGGTCCAGTTTCTGTTGCTGCCTGGATCCCTGGCAGGAACTCTCTCCCAGTTGGGGTGGTGCAGGGAGGAGCCCATCTCCCTGGCTTTGGCTGGGGACAGCTGGTGGCTTTGTCAACAGACCTCTCCCCAGCACCCAGGGGAGTGCAGTGGCTTTCATCTCCATTAGACCAGGTCACTTTCAGATCAGCAGGGGGCAGAGGTGGGGCCCAGAATTAAAGCCCTGGGGGTGATGAGAGCTCTAAGGCCAAGGCACTGACATCTCAGCGTCCTCATGTGTGACTCATCAGCAGTCCTCAGTGCTAAGCTTATGGGCTGCTCTAGGTACCCCAGCCCCAAAGGTCCTTGAGGATAGTAATGAGGAGTGGACTTTGAGCCAGCGTCAGGACTGCAGAATCCTTGTGGAAAATGCACGTGTGTATGGGTTTTTGAGCCTAGGACACACGGCGGGTCCTCATTAAATACCCTGTAAGTGAATTAGTAGGGTGGCCCAGTGCCCTGTGCAGGGGGTACCATCTCATGATTGCTGATTGGGCTTTGATTGGGGGCTTTGAGTAATTTCTTAAACAATGGAAAGCAAATTGTTAGTTCATAAATGACATCCTAAAACAATGGAGGGGGTAGATAACGAAAGAAGTTCTTGGAAGATGGAAGTTTGTGCATTGCTGTTCTAACTGCTCTGAGGGCAGGTCCAGCACTCTGTCTTGGACTTGCAGGGCCCGTAGGCGTTTCCTGGGTCCTGAGAATAGGGGCCCTCCGGGGTGGACAGTTCACTTTCAGTTGTAGGAATGTCACTGGAAAGTCCACTACTCGCTGGACTTTTGAGGGGATTCAGAAACTCAGGGAAATGGGTAGAGGGGCCGGAACGCTTAAGGGAGTCCTAAGCGATGGGGATGACCCTTGGCATGTGGTCAGACTTTCCTGTCATCATGATCAGAGCAGGGGGAGAGGCCTCTTGGATAATCAGTAGGTGAAGGGAGGGAGCCAGCAAGCAAGAAAAGATGGAGAGCTGGCCTCCCATCAACAAGGGGGTATGCACGGAACAGTTTTGCAATCACAAGATGAAGATGTGAGCAGAAGTAAGGAATCATAGGCTGGGTTTGGCCTAGGGGCCAACTGGGAAACTCTGCATCTGAGAAAGTCTCCTGAGAAAACTTAGAAATGGCCTTTGGCCTCCCTCTGCCCTGGGCTGTTGACCCATCTGCCATACTTTGGAACTAAAACCAGGCCTGAAAGTCCCTAAGACGGGACAGAGGTTGGAATTTGCTCTGGGGTATGGCTGGAAATACCTGGACTGTTTGGAAGAGTTGGACATTCTTTACTTGAAATGGAAAGTTAGAGTAGCTTGTTAAATAGCTGTGGACAAGGGTGATGGAGACATGAAATGGGCAAAAGGTGCTGCTGGCTCCTGACTGGAGAGGCTGCCGATCTGATGGGGGAGGGAAGACAAGGATCAAGTGATGGCAAAGGTGATCAGTGACGGATGGGCTTTGTAAGGTCAGTGGAGGGGAAGGCTCCTCCGCTGCTGATGTCTGTCCGCAGAGCTTCCTGGGGGAGGAAGCGTTGGTGAGGCGCAGACTGGGAACGGGCAGTGGGAGATAAGATCGGGGCGGATAGCTTGCAGTGTGCCCCGGAGTTTGGATTTTATCCTGAAGCCGGTGGGGAGGACAGAGGGTTGTAAGCAGCTCGTTGAGTCGATGCCTGTTGCGCTGCCTTGTGCCAGGCCTCTTACAGACGCCCCATTGAAATCTCACAATACCCCTTCAAAGGAGCTGCTGCTGGCGGCCTCCCCCACCCCTGCCCCGTTTTCAGATGGGGAAATGGAGGCTCAGAGGGATCGCAGAGCTATATTTGAACACAGGCCTGAACTGTTTCTGTTCTATTGTGCTGCTCCTCTCAGGTCACTTGGCCAAAGATGGTGGCAAGACTGGCTGGGTGGAAACCAGCTCAGAAATGCTGGTCCAGCAGAGAGATGGCTAGAGTGTGACATGAGCTACGGAACGGAGAGGGAAGGAGGGGAGGCTGCAGGACCTTGTAGCTGCCTTGGGGACTGGGGTCATCACAGGTGGTCTAAGATTTGGGGAAGGACCATTACGTGGCAGTGTCACTGCTTTCAAGTCCCTGCAGGGCTCTCTGTGTGCAGAGGGCGTAGTCTTGTTTTGTGTGGCTCCTGGGGGCACAGACAGCATCAAGAGTGACAGGGAAGCTAATGGGAATAAGCTCCTTGGTGAGGAGAGAGATTCCCATCCCCGAAGGTCTGCAGAGAAGCTGGAGAGTTGGAGAGGCTGCAGGAAGCGTGTACCAGGAGGGTCAGGCCTGGGCGACCTCTTTCAGTTCCCAGTTTACCCGAGAATATTAGCATTGGCGGGGGTGGGGTGGGGGGTGCTTGGCCCACTTCCACCCTGCTTTTCTCATAGCTTTTCAGAACTGCCCCTTCTTGTACATCTCAGGATGTTCCTCATAAATGCCAGGCCTGCAGGGCTCCGCCTAGGAGAGTCCTTGCCCCGTGGAATATACTCAGCCCAACCTACCTTCTAGAGGCCTCTCAGGATGTGTGGATCAGCCACCGGAGCCTGTGCTGGCGGAGACTGGTTTCACAGAGGACTGAGCCTTATTCTTCCATTTCCCAATCTGTGAAATGGGTTCAATTTCTCTTTCCTCAAATATGAGGAAATAAGGCTGCATCATGAATCAGGCTGAATCAGCAGGGGTTGGAGGAAAGGGCTGGCAGGTTTGAACGTGAGGAGTGGGAGGGGTGGGGGGCAGGGTAATCCCTCCCTTCCCTGCAGCAGAGGCTAAAGCAGGCTCTGCTGATCTTGGGAGGTTTGGAGCTCGGTGGAAGGGGCAGACATGATTGTCTTGGACCATGTGGCCTCAAGGCTAGTCTGTCACCAAAGGAGTCAAATTGGGGATGAAGCTCTCTTCTAGATGGAGGATAGTTTGTGTTAAGTTGCTTCCTGGCCCTTTTTATTACTACCTGTTTTATTTTTAGATATAGATCAGAGTTATTAAATTTTAAAATGTGTATCACAAATGAACATGTATTTACTGGAAGGCAAGGTATGGGAGGTGGCTGGCTAGGTAGTGCCCTGTCTCCCATTGGCTGCCTCTTCTCCCTCCCTCTGTGCTCCCTCTCCCTTGCTACACCTCCACATCCCTGCTAATAGCGGGGATGCTGCAGCCTAGTCGCTTCCCCTCAACCCCCCAAACCCTTCTCACCAGTGCCACCTCTACATGCAGTCATTCCTAATTCTGCAGAGTTGGCATTGCCCACTCCCTGCTTTATATATGCAGACCCTGTTATCTGGCCCTCTCACGGGCCCTTCACATACCTGGCTTTGAATTTTGGTTCCTTAGGAACATGTCTCATCTTCCCTAGGCTCCGTGCCCAGAAACAGGGGCTGGCTGCGTGTGGCCCATTTCTGCCCCAGCAGAGGTGGGCAGCATTGCAGAGTGGAATAGAAAGCCCTGGGTTCAAATCCCAGCACTGCCACCATTGGCTGTGGGATCCAGAGCAAGTTACCCAAATCTCTCTTGGCATCAGTTTCCTCAATTGCAGGAGGAGGAGAGTAAGAATCTTGCTTTGCTAGGGAGGCTGAGCAGATCACAGTAAGGGCCCAGTAAGTAGGAACTGTTAAAGATAACAGTGGTTGTTGTTATTGTTTGTTTACATCTGGGAAGCGATCTGTTCTTTCGAGATGAAGGGAAGGCTCCCGGGAGTTTAAGTTCCTGAACTTTTTGTCTCAAGGCTTGTTCGGGTGATGAAACTGAGGCCGGAGAGATGGGGCAATCTGCCTGGGGTATGGGAGCTGCTGGCCTTATTCGGGAAGCCTGGCAGGATTTCCGCTCTTTGTCACACCTGTTTTTCCTCTTCTCTCCTTTCATTCAGGATAAGGTGCTCAAGTTCTGTAAGGCCATGTTCAACGGTATCTCAAACAGTGTGCCAAAGAAGATGACCTGGCTGGCAGGCGCTGGGCTGCCCTCAAGCCGGGGACCCAAGGCCCGGACTGTGTGCACTAAGGCCTGGAGCCTCCAGAGGCCTCCTGCCCAGTCTCCCGGTGCCCTAGGAAGGGGGAGAGGATGGTGGCAGGGAGAGGTGACCTAGGCCAGGTCTAGGACACAGACAGCAGAGGCTGGGAACTAGGCTCTGGGGCTAGACAGTCTGGGTT